CCTGCTCCTACACTCGCCCCCTGGTGGTCATACCCCAAACAGCGGCCAAAGGAGTTCTCCATTTGAAACCTCAGTGCAGGGGTCCTGGTCCCAACATTCTGGTGGTGTCATGGATAGAAGTCCATCTGATGGCTCCCTCCTACAGTCCATCAGGCCTTTTGTGATCTAGCCCCTGGCTGCCTCTCAGAGCTGGTTTATTCATCTCTGTATCCCAGAACTTAGCACATAGTAAGTGCTCGAAAAATATCCTCTGGCCTGGATTCACACTAGCACTGTCAGGCCACCAACACGGCAGGTGCCATTTCTCTTCCGTTGAGGTGACTGGAGGTCAGAGAGGTGCAATGATGTGTGCAAGGTCATGTGGCACTTCTGTGGACTCTCTCAGGGACCAGGACAAGGGTCTTCTAACTCCGACTGTGACCTCACTTCTTTGCCTATCTCTCCCCCATGGCTAGACCCTAGAGCCCCACTTCTTTTTGAAGTTGGCCATGATAGGAGTGTCCACATCATGGAAACTAGCAAATCAGCCCCTCTCTCACCTTTTATCCCCCAACAAATCTGGTTGTTAGTTATTGCCAGCATGCCACTGGACATGGAGTCTAGTCTGAGGAAACTGAATGACGCCACTTTGCTCACCTGTCCTTGTCTTGAGCTTGCAACCCTCAACGTGGCCCAGGTGCTTAATCCATCTCTCCTCTCCCCTGCCTGACCTCATACTCTGTCCTGGGCCAGCTGCCAGCTGGCCTTAGGCCTATACGAACAATGAACTTCTGCACGTTGAAGGCCAAGGTGGAGGTAGTGAGGGCATCATCTTATTGGTGCTCCTGGCCTGACCCTGGCCTCTGCCTGGTCACGCCCTTCCTGTTCTCACTGTCTAAACCACGCCCTATTTCTGCCTCCGATTTTTTTCCTCCTCACCTTCTCTCTATGATTCACTTATTTCCATCTTTTGCATTCTAATCCTGCTCTCTTTATCTCTGGTAATAAAAACAAGGGTTCCCAGGGGGTGGCTCATTAACTTTTAGCAAGCACCTGCTATGTGCTTTAAGTGTATCCGTGCATTTAATCTACGCACCAGCTCCATTGTACAGATGGGAATAGGGAAGTACAGAAAGATTCAGCAACTCACCCCAAATCACACTGCTGGTAAGTGAGGAAACCAGAACTGACTCTAGATGCACTGTAACCTTTCTGGGAAGTGGCAATAATCACATCAGACTTAGAATTTTAAAACACGGGTTTGAGATCTGACTCTCTTACCTCCTTCTGACTTCGCTCTTGGGGCCTCAGCTTCCTTCCTTATTCATAAAATGGGATGACCAATATGTGCCCTGTCCATTCATAGGGTTGTTTAAGGGTCAAATGATATAATGGGTGTAAAAGGGCTTTGAGGATGTTAAGAGGGGAGGATAATAGCTCAGTGGTAGAGCACATGCTTAGCATGCATGAGGTCCTGGGTTCAGTCCCCAGAACCCCCATTAAAAAACAAACAAAAAAGAAAATGTTAAAATGCTGAGCATATGAGTAGATGATTTATATATGGTTCTGTTTTCCAGTTTTCTCTTTTGCCTCTCAGAAGGGTTCTTTGTCTGCTTTGGTTGTGCCGGTGTGTGTAGCACCCAGAGGCTCCCAGACACAGAGACTCCCAGTAAGTGTAACTGCTCTTCCTCTATTCTTCAGTGGGCTCCTTTTGCTCAAGCCTTTCAGGGAGACTCATCACCTTTCCTCTCTCACTGTCATCAAGCCCAGACTCAGAGAGCAGGAGGATTCACCCCAGCAGGTTTCCAATGCTTAGATCAAGACCAGCACTGGATTGGATGGGGGGAGGGTATAGCTAAGTGGTAGAGTGCATGCTTAGCACTCTAGTCCTGGGGTCAGTCCTCAGTACCACCATTAAACAAACAAACAAACAAACAAACAAACAAACCTAATTACCACCCCTACCAAAAAAAAAAAGACCAGCACTGGAATAAGTCCACGAACACATCTTAGACATTATAATAGAAGCCAATTGGAAATTATGGTTCACTTTATAGAAACTGGCTTAAGTAAACTTTTCAGAAGCACATTTACTTTTGTGGAGCAAGGCAAGATCTGACTTTATTTTTCTTTTAAAAAATTATTTTTAATACATATAATTTTTTCATTGAAAAACATCACTTTCTTGGAAGAATAAGTGCACAGATCTTAAGTGTACAGATTGATGACTTTTCACATGTATATAGCCACCACTCAGAACAAGACCCAGAACATTTCCAGTGTACTGGAGAACTCCCTTGTGCCCCCTCCCAGGTGATACTTACTGCCACAGTTTTGATTTCTTTTTGGTACAGTATTCAAAAGGATCAAAGTATAAGCTGAAAAATCTCCCTCACACCTTGCTGTCACCCATTTTTTTTTTCTCCTAAGAGTCAATACGGTTTCTTCTAGGTAGTGCGAGCGTGTGCCCGCCCCCCACATTGTATTATGTTTTATGTTGTATAGATTCTCCCCTTTTCCCACTAAAGGTACTTGACTATGCAATTGTTGTACACCTTGGTTTTTTTTCACTTAATGCATCTTAAAACACTGGAATCATTTTAAGAATATGCAAATTAATATCTTTACCAAAAAGCTTCCCCTTACAAAAATTTGCTTTATAAAAAATCTAAACTTTTATTACTAAATAATTCTATGCTCTGCCTTATAGCCCTCTGAGGGTCCTTAGGCAGCAAGTCTGGCTACTACATCAAAAAATATGATTCCATTAGGAAAATGCGATTCATGTTAACTTTTCAGCCCACCAAATAAGCCATTCTGCAGGATTCTATCTTATTGATGTTATCTTTTCCTTTTATAGCTCTTATCAAATAACAACATCATGGGTTTATATTCTCAATAACTCATGAGTTCTAAAGGACATGTGTGAGAAAAAAACAAAAAAAGACTAAAATTTGGAGCATAAATTGTGAGATTTCTCTAAGACTTGAATTATTGGAGCTTATTAGGTTGGAATGAATAAAAGGGGAAAGACATATTTAGTAATTTCAGACATATTTAGTAATTTCAGACATACTAAGCAGTTTTCCTGGGAAATTGATCAAGAAGAATCCATGGTGTTGTATGAACTTCCCCAGGGGAGGGCAGACCAGACCTGCTAGAGGGCAGCTGAGGGAGTGGGGCTGTGAGTTCCAGGAAGCAGAGTAGCAGCCAGGTGAGAGCTGGAAGGCTGGCAGGTAATCTGAATCAAAGTCCTCACAAGCATCAGCAAGGACAAAGGGCATAAACAGGGCCCCAAAGCAGAGACATAGCCAATGGGCAGAGCTTCTGAGCTGGACTGGCTGAGAATGGAATTAGGAGCAAGTTGGGAGGCAGCAGGTTGTTGCCAAGAGTGAGGTCGAAGTTCGCTGGTCTCCAGGTGCACATGTTGGGCACGCTGACCCAATGTATGAACTTTGTGCACCATCCCTATGAAGCATTGTTACAAGAGAATTACCCCCACCTCTGTGTCCATGCCTCTTTGCAACGTGACTTTCAGCTTCTGCTACCACAGGGTGGAATCTTTTTCACCTCCCATTGAATCTGAGTTGGCCTTGTAACTTGCTTTGACTAATATGATGTGGCAGAGGTGAGGTTTTGGCAGAAGTGAGGCTGGGCTCCTGCTTTCCTTCTTTTGGAATGTTTCTATCATGTGAAGAAGCCCAGCATGAAAGACCACAGGGAGAGTAGGGCATAGGCATCTGAGCCATGCTAGACCACCCAACCCAACCAAGCCATTAGCAGACTGCAGGTCCATGAGACCAGCAGAGGAGCCACCCAGCCAACTCGCAGACCTGCAAGAAGTGGTGGATTGGTGTTAAGGCACCAAGTTTTAGAATGATTTGTTGCACAGATAACTGATACATCCCTCTGCCCTATAAACATACTGCTGACGTCTACAAAGGTCTCTCATGTTAGGCAACACAGAATTGTGAGACCTAGAATTACAAATATTTTATGTGTTCATAATATTCTGCAGAACCACTTCACATGTACCATTTAATTTAATATTCTGATAATCCAGTGAGGAAGAGGAAGCAGGAACATGGCTACCTCCATTAAACAGATGAGAAAACAGGCTCAGAAAGACATATGACTGTCCCAGGATTACTCAGCAAGTCAGTAGGGATACTCTTATGAACTGATTGTGTCCCCCCCAAAATTTTTTTGTTGAACCCCTAATCTCCCTTGTGACTGTAGTTGGAAACAAGGCCATTAAAGAGGTAATTAAGGTTAAATAAGATCATAAGAGTGGACCCCAATTCAATAGAACTGGTATCCTCATGAAAAAGGAAAGAAACACCAGGGATGCAAACATGTGGAGAATAGGCCACATGAGGACACAGCAAGAAGGTGGCTGTCTACAAGCCAAGACGGGGGACTCAGGAGACACCAAACCCTTGATCCTGGACTTCCGAGCTCCAGAACTATAAGACAACACATTTCTGTTGTTCAAGCAGTCCAGTTTGTGGTATTTTGTTATGGCAGCCCTAGCAAACTAATACAGATGCCAGTACTCAAATTTAGGTCTTCTACTTTTTTAGAAGGAATTTTCATAAAACAATGAGATACCATTTCCTGTATATCAAACTGGCAAAGATTTTTAAAAGATAAACTTAGGAGCAATAAGAATGTGGAGAAATGGGTTTTCTCAACTGGTGGGAGTCCAAATTGGTAGAGCTTTCTAAAGGGAATTTGGTAATACTTACCAGTGGTCTTAATGATTTGTCAGTGTTTTTTTGTAATGATCCATGGCAGACTGTATTTTCTGAAGAAGGAAGCACTGATGTATCCCATTTTCTGTGCTCTTCTTACAATATGAGGTTGACACACCTCCACTAAGAGGCAGAGTCTGTTCCCTTTCTTGAACCTGGACAGACCATTGTAGTTGCCACAACCAATAGAATACAGTGAAAGTGAGGGTGTGTGACTTCCAAGGCTAGGTTATAAAAGGCATTACAATTTCTACCTTGGCCTTTTAGGTAACTCACACTGCAAAAGCCAGTGGCTATGTCACGAGGATACTCAAGCAGCTCTGTGGAGAGGTCCATGTGGAGAGGAACTGAGGCACCCAGCCTACAGACACCATCAACTTGCCAGCTGTATGAGTGAGTTACCTTAGAAACAGATCCTCCAGTCCCAGTTGAGCCTTCAGATGACTGTAGCCCCAGCCAACTGCAGCCTCATGAGAGACCTCAACTGAGACCTGCCTAGGTGAGTCCTCCTCAAATTTCTGACCAACAGAAACCATGAGAGAAAATGAGTTTTTATTGCAGTTTTATATCACTGTGTCTTGGGGTAATTTGTTATACAGCCATATATAATTAATAAACAACCTATATGTGCATGAGTAGGGAACTATTTAAATGTATTATAGTACATGCATTTAATGAAATACCATGCAGCTGTTTAAAAAGAGGAAGCTCTTTATGTATTGACATGGACAGCTCTCCAAGATGATTTGTTAAGTGAAAAATGCAAAGTGCAAAATAATATATAAAGGATGCTATCATTTGTGGAAAAAAGTTATGTATATACATATATGTGTGTATAGAGAGATAATATGTACACATGCATATATTTATATGTGGCATATATATATACACATACTATATATGTATATATTATATATATGCAAAATATCTCTGGGAAGAACATAAGATACTGGTAGTAGTGATTGCCTCTGGGGAGGGGAACGGGGTGACTTCAGAACAGAGGTGAAAGATGCCTTTTAAATTTTGAACCTCCTGATATATTATCTATTGAAAAATAAAGTTTAAAAATTGTAAATAGTGCTTTCTCTTTAACTCAGAAACTTCACTGCTAGGAATTTATCCTTAGTAAATAATCATGGCAAAGATTTAACTAGGAAGGTGTTGTCACAGCTTCATTTAATATCATAAAAACAGCCCAACTGTTAAACAGTAGGAAATTTGTTGAGTAGCTTATGGCAGTCTTGTTTCGTATCTGCCGCGATGGAAATGGTGAAGTAGAAAACAAAGTCAATGCCCGGTGAAGTGATCATGATGTAGTAATGGACAAGAAGTTATGAAATGGCAGAGCAACAATCTTATCTTTGAAGTGAATTTAACTATATAAATGTAGACGAAGGTGGAGATTTAAGATAGATACAGATAGATCTAGAAACCCAAATGTTAAGGGCGATTATCTCTGGGAAGTTAATTTTGTTTTCTTCTTTTTCATCTGTGTTTTCAATGATAAACGTGTACTACTTTTGCAAAAACACAAACTCTGAAAGTTTGTCTCTCTTTTTTCAGAGACTTGTAAATCATCCTATAAATAGCAGCTCCAGGTAGAGAATTTGAAACTTTGTTTTTAAAGATGACAGTTTTTCAAGGACAGTGACCTTTATCATTAGGTAGAGAGAGCTGCCCACCCTGTTCAAAGTCCAGGCATTTTGGTCACAACATTGACCCCCTCCAAGCCCACTGACCAGTTGTGGGGGGTCACATCCAGCCATTGCACCCCCAAACTACCCCTGATCAAAACTGGTAGGCAGGAAAGGCTACAGAATTTCTAGAGAAAGGGGGTCATCTCTGAGGGGTGATCTTGGGACCAGTCTCCAACCTGCATTTCCAAAGCCAGCACAATGCTTTCACTTCCATTGTAGGTTAAAAATCAAGTATTACAGGCTGAAGTGTGTCCTCCCCTACATTTGTATGTTGAAGTTCTACTCCCCCACCCAGTATATCAGATTATGACTGTATTTGGAGAGAGGGTCTTTAAAGAGGTAATTAAGGTAAAATGAGGTCAAACAGGTGGGCCCTAATCCAATATGACTGGTGTCTTTATAAGAAGAGATTAGGGCGTAGGCCACACGGAAACAAAGATGAGAAGAGGGGCCTCAGAAGAAACCAGCCCTGCCAAAATCTTGATCTCAGACTTCTAGCCTCCAGGACTGTGAGAAAATCCATTTTGGTTGTTTAAGTCTCCCAGTGGTGGTACTTTGTTGTGGCTGCCTACGCAAATTAATATAGCAAGTTTCCTAAAGATACACCTTTACACAAGGTTGAGAAAATGTCCACAGTCCACCGTTTGTCCAACAACAAAGACTGTTACCTTCTGGTGGTGGGTCTGAGATGCGGAGCTGATGGCGATTATGGGGTCCTTGGGGACCCCCAGCCCCTTAGGTGCCACCACTGCAGGCTACACGTGAGCATCCCTGGCCTTTCCAGTAGGCGAAGGTGGAGAAGCACCTTCCAGCACCTATCCAGCCTGAGAAGCACCTGGAATTTGCCTCTTGATGTGGCCTCGAGTTCCCTGTCAAGACTGTAGCCCTATGTGGAGCTGCAGCCTGGCCCTGAGACCCCTGCTGGGGACCTAGTCTCACCAGCCCCACTCCAGGGACATTTGGGACCCTGACACTCCTCTCAGAGGAGCCTTCCTGACTCCCAGGCACGCCTCCCATCTCTGTTCCCAGAGATTCTGACTGCTAAGGTTCACCTCCACACCGCCAGCAGACCCTGGAATATAGCTGCTGGTCTGGAGGAATTCATGGTCTTCACATCTCTGAGACAGCCCTTTATGGGGCTGAAAAGCCCTGGGCATTCTTACCCTCTGAGGCCACATCCCTAAAATGTGTTCAGATGGACCCACAAGCCACATCACACATAATTTACATAAACTGTAGGAACTGAGTTGCAGTTGTCTAGTTAACATTTTGTAGACATTTAACCATTTCATCCTTACAATGTACTTTTCTAATTTTGGAGCTAGCAATGATCCCAGCTGTGGTTTAGGGGTTTCTATGAGTGTTTGAAAAACTGACCGGCCCTGGGCACCAGAGCCATGGACCCAGCTGAGTGGTCCCTAGGGCTCTTTCCAAGGATGTGCAAGGTGCAATGGGTGTGCTTGACCCCAGAGGAGCCCTCCAAGCACCCAGAGTCCAGTTGCAATGTCCCAACCCCCTTTTGGTGCTGTAGAGTAGGAGAGGCAGCATTTTTTTATTTTTTATTTTTATTTTTTTTAAC